CTAATTCCCACTCCGGATCCTTGCTTTGTTGAAGACCCATCTACGTGTAATTTCCAAGTTTGGTTCTCCGGTTGATCTATCGTCCCAGGTATTGGTAGTTCGGTCAGGAAGTCTGCTAAGACCTGAGCCTTCATACTGATCCGGCTTTTAAACTCTATGTCGTACTCGCTTAATTCCACCGCCCATTTCGCCAAACGTCCGGATTGACTTGGACTATGAAGTATTGTTCTGAGTGGTTGGTTAGTTAATACCTCAACCGGATGGGACTGCTTTCATCCGATAAATCCAGGGAGTCCCGAGGATGATGTTGTAAGCTGCGGGCTTATCGAAGACAACGAAGTCCACGATCTTCGATACCTTCTTGGCAAGGACCGGTAGCTTGATTGTTCCGAGAGACATGGCTGACTCGCTTGTGAACGCAACTAACGGAGATGGGGGTCCTACTATGTCTCCTCGGCTGATTCCCATTCTTTCTAGAGTACTTAAAAAGATCAAATCGACCGAACTGCCTGTATCTATAAGGATCCTTGATACTTCGAAGTTAGCAACATCAAGAGTAATAACTAGAGCATCATCATGCGGTCTTTCGAGATGCCGCGTTTCTTCTTCATTAAATGATATCGATGCACCTTGAAAATCGACTTCCTCGCTTAAGCTTGCTTTGAGTAGGATATTTCGTCTATGTTTCTTGATGGAACTTATCGAATCTCCGCAAAATCTGGAACCTCCTAGAATCACATTGATTTTACCCTTCGAACTCCTTGGTTCTTCCTCGTTGGAAAACCTTGGTCTTTTGGAATCTTGATCTTTGGAGTTTTCCTTTGCTTCGTGGTACTCCCTCACAAAATCTTTTATATCGAATTTAGAAAGATCGCCACTAGCCCAAAGCTCTGCGAGGTGCTTTTTAAGAACGCTGCAATCCTTGGTTAAATGTCCGGTTACTTTATGAATGTCGCAATATAGACTTTCATCACGGACCCAAGTGTTTGATCTTCCTTTCCCTTGGAATTGCTTCCCGACGGTATTGTTGAAGGGTTGCGACCCAAACCTCTTTGGTCCTTTGCTCTCCCTAGGCTCGAACTTCCTGGCAGGGACGGTGATTGCTGGCTTTTCTTGCTTATTTCTTTTGGCAAAACTTTCTTTTTCGTCCTCTACCTCCATCCAATTGTTCGCGCGAAAGAGTGCATCCTGAATTGTGTCTGGTTTATGAAGTATTAAGTCTTCTTTAAACCTTGAATCATGTCGCAATCCTTTTCGTAGGGCAGATAAAGCTGATTGCTGTGAGATTCTTGGGAGTTTTGATAGCACTCCTTTGAATTTGGTGATGAAAACTCGAAGTGACTCATTAGATCCTTGCGTCAAATTCCAAAGATCGGCATCCGAAACGCTTTTATCCATAAGGATAGAGTATTGCTTTAAGAACACGGCTGACAGTTCGTCGAAATTGCTGATCGAACCCGGCTCTAATTGGGTGAACCACATTAGAGCTTGGCCACATAGATTCTCCGAAAACAGCTTGCAATAGCCTGCATCCTCATCAGCTTCATCCAATTCGACTCTTCCAGCAGCGATCAGAAAAGCTGCGAGATAGTTTTTTGGATCCTCCAATCCGCTGTAAGGGTCCAACTTGAGCTTCCGGGAATCTTTGATCCTTAAACTCGCGATTCGCGGGATGAAAGGTGTTCGCCTAGCTTCTTCAATGACTCGATTGATGTCTGGCTCTGAACTTGTAGCTTGATGAAATTTTGATTTCATTTCTTTTAATTCCTGGCTAACCTTCCTCATGGTCTCGAACTGGTCGAGGTTCTCCTGCTCATACTGAGCTGCAAGTTGTTCTTCATCCCCGAGCTGCGTCTCTTCCTCCAACGTCTGAGCTACGTTATTAGTAGCACCGGGGGTTGTTTGTCCGCTGGTTTCATTTCGTGCAGCGGAACTTGGCGAGTTGAATATCCCTCTTCGGATTCCCACCGGGTTTCCTGCACTTAAAGAGCGAACACGAGTTTGTATAGTATTGACGTTTTGACTAAGAGATACCTGGGATGTTTGCAACGTATCAACGGCCTTTTCTACATCCGAGAAATTTTGTGATATGTCCGCCATGGTTTGCTGCATAGCTTTGAGGGTTTCGGCCAATGATGTCTCAGCAGCGTCTCCTCCGGACATTGTTGCTTATCTCGGAAGTGTGATAAAGAAAAAATCTGACCACTCAAGAACTTAAGTTCCCCACAGACGGCGCCAAAATGTGGATGTCGGATTCACACACTCAAGTATTTTGTTAAGCGGGAAAGATTATTCTTGAGGGACAAAAATGAATATGTAAAAACTTATAAATTGATACGAAAATTGCTATAGTATTTCTCTCTTGAGAGGAAGTCCCCTTTTACATGACCATTGGCCTCTATATTTATACATAGATAAACGTCATTAAAATGAGCAATTAAGTACAATTGTTTCTTCTTAAATGTGTCCGTTTTGATTCTTCGACTTTAATGCTCAACGTTTGAATTTGAGTTGACTCTGATCTTCATGGGCCTCGCCTTTTCTGGCCCAAGCGTCCTTGAACCGACTTACCCGTGTCTTCTACACCGAACTCGTGTCCCAGTATATTCACTTCGGATTCTCGAAGTGGTGACAACCACTTCGACCGTCCCTTCGGTTCACGGGTCCAATGGGCTTCATCCTTTATGGGCCATTATTTTGACTACGTGGCAATCTTTGGTTGGTCTCGTACTTCTGGTGCGGGATCCGACACCAACACCAAGTTTTGTCAGAATTCAACATTATTATTTAAAAATTACAATTTTTAATAATATATTGTTTTCATTAATTACCTAATATTTAGTAAATTTAACTAAATTTGAAGTCAATTTTTTTTCTAATTAATATTTTTAGATTTTTATTTGATTAGTTAATTTTAAAAAAATCAGCCTGATTTTAGCGGTTACTATTTAAATTTTAAATTATTCAGCCAGATTCCACAAGAAATCACAAATAAATTATGCTAGATTCAACAATTCAGCCATATTCTTCGGTTACCATTTAGACCCAAAATAAAACAAATAAAAAAAACTCAAAACATCATATATATTGAGACAATGAAGTGTTATAGATTAAAATGATACAAAACATATAAAGTGTGACTTATATCTCTGGTTTAGGGAATGGTGTGCTCGAATCACTACGTATATGTTCACCGATTGCTTTGTTTGGGTCTGTCGAGCATGTGATCTAGCCACATACTATATTAAGGTAAGAAAATTATTCTATTATTTTTTTCTTGTAGATGTCAAGAAATTTGATATATGTATTTTTTTTTTTCATGTATGATTGAGTACAAAGAGAGGGAAATACTTTTTTTTTTGTTCCCAATGACATAAGAAGAACAATGAGAAACCTCTTAGTCCTCAATTTCTAATCAATTTTACAGTTTCAAATTGCAACATTTACAAGTTTTGTACACTGAAATATATCCCTTACAATTGATTCGACAAATCTTGTTTACACAATATTATTACACAACCGTAATTTTGGTCACATGAGCAAACTGCGATGATTCAAGTGCCACTTTTGTCCTAAAAGATAGGGCGGCCAAATGTATGTTAAAGCGATCAAATGGCTTTGAAGAATTAAAGGTACGTACCATGTGATTTTTCTTCATCATATTTAAGATTAAATATTAGCATTATTTTTTTAAAATCAAATATATATGTATATTTATTTATCTTATGTTTTGAATATTCGTTTTGTAACTGATGATTTTTATCGATTTATCTCGAAAAAATCTCACTCTAAGACTAGGGGTGCAAATGGTAGCCTTAAAATAAAAGGTTGAAAGAGTTGAATGACCATTCATCTCAATTTTTACCATTTGAGATGAATAAGTTGGAAAATTGATTCAACCCATTCAACCCAAAAAGTTGGAAAAATGAATAGATTGTGAAGAAAAATTATTCAACCCTTTCAACTACTATTTCGCAGAGGAATGAGTTGAATGATGTTCAACTTTTTTTGTTCAACTCAAAAATTTTCAACCATTCATCTATATGTCATCCATTTGCAGCCTACAATAAACTTTATTTGCATCAACAAACTGTACTATAATATTATATACGTTAATTTTTACAGCTTTCTAGTTTAAAACAAATTAACAATAAGTGAATTAGGGATCTTAACACAATTTGGTGTCCAAATTTTTGTAACATGGGAAAATAATCTATGAACATAAAACTAGAACTATCCCATTTTCTATTCAGATTTAATATTAATTTTTTTGAAATAGTTGGCAAGTTTAAGAAATATTTTAAATATGTATTACAATTGGACTTATAATAATCAAAATACATTAAATTAATATTTTAAAATAAATGTGTTTGCCAATAAATAAAGTAGAAAATAGAAAAAAAAAAAATAGATGAAAAAAATATGGCTTTGTTAATTGCAATAATTTATTATTATTATTATTATTTTATTTGAACAAAATATCTTGAGTTTGAAAGCTGTAGGGCACACAATTTTACTGGCTTTCATTAAAGGTAAAGAAGAAAACTGTTCTGTTGAGATAATGCAGCTCAAAGATCTATTTTGGGAATGGAGGGACTTCCACTCTTATGTGCCAGGTGGCCTCAATTCTATTGGGAGGAAACGTAAAAGGTTTGTGGAGCATCTGGCGAAAAAGAAGCTTGAGAGCGAGCATAAGAGGAAGATGAAAAAGGACAAGAAGAAGGACAAGAAAAAAAAGGCTAAAGAGGAGAAGAAGAACATAGATTAAGGCAGCAAGTAGATTCGTTTTGCTTTGTTATTCTAAGATTTAACTTGAACAGCTTTGAATATAAATAAATCTTTTGTGTCGTTAAAAATAAAACAAAGTAACATTTCATCATATATATAATTGTAAAAAAAAACAATATTTATTTGCTAATTGCAATAACAAAACCTAATTTTGAAAACAAAAGAAACAAAAAAAAACCCTAAATGGGCTTTTGGGACTACTTCCAAGCTCTGAGCGTCATTACCGATCCACTACCAATATTAACACGATAACCGGAAAATGCCAAAGAACCGGGTTTTAGATTCTGTGTCGGTTCTTGATACGATTTAGCAGAGTCCTCGTAATTCTTCATCATCCCTGCGAGTCAATTAATTTCCACAAGCAATCTTTGGATTTGATCTGAGTTTAAAGATCTTAAATTTCTTCCAAATTTGAAAACTTGAAGGAACATATGGCAAAACCCAGAAATCTTTTTAGGGTTTGTTCTCTTCTAATGGCGTTTTTGTTTGCTTACTCTGCATCTGTCCAGCTTAATGATCCTGGTATTCAAAAATCTTCTTCTTCTATTCTCTTTCTATAGATTATGTAAAGATCTCAACATTGATATGTTTCTGCAGATTGGTACTTTTGGTTTCCTCTCTACACACTCTCTTGTGTAATTAATCTGATAAACTGCAGAAGAAGAATATCTAAATCAAGAAGAATCAAACAAATGATTGGAACAGCTCTTAGTTTAGGTCTGTTCTTGTTGGTTAAAGTGGTTGTAGAAGATGTAATAACAGAGAAAGTTGGAGTCTTGTCTTTAGATCTTACTCATAGAGTGGTTAGAGAGAAGATTGGAAGTGGTTTAGTTATAGCTTCAATGGTTCTGCAACTACAATCTTCTTCAGAAACCATTGACTTTGGTAAGAAGAAAGAAAGATTCAATCTTTTAAAAGAGTTTCAAATTTCAAAAGTTTGATTAGTTTGTTAATGTTTTTTCAGGGATGGTTGCAATTGTAGTCTTTGGTTATGGACTTCCCTTTTGGTTTTTCACAATTGAGAAAGGAGAAATCAAGATTTGATTATCTGAAAATTGGGAAAAAGAAAAGTCACAAGCTTGAAGGAAAATGAATAGTTCCAAAGCTGTCTAAAGATTCAAGGGAAAAAAGGTAAAAAGTCTGAAGGAAAATTATTAAAACAAATCTGCAAAGAATGTTCCTAGGAACTAAAATCTAACTTAAGAGACCTCTGCAATTAGTTGCTTTACAATGGCATGGATGCTCATTTTCTTGTCCAGATGGTACCGGTCTGCATCCATAGTCTCGGGTGATCTCTTCTCCTGCAGCGATCTATTTTACATACATGACACAAAGATTATTGATTACGGTCCAATATTTTGATACTTCTTTCAAGCAAAAGAGAGAAGAAGAGCCTTACATCCATACTGGCGTATAGACCGATATGAGCGAGCGGGGACTCCATGCTTTCCACTATAACTTGGTGATTAACGAGATTTGGTGAGCAGCTAGAGATGAAAGTAGATTGAAATCATCAGTCTTGTCGTAAAGGTTTTTTGATACATTTGTAATATAAACTCACCTGTGATTGATGAATCGAGAGATGTTGCCATGAGTAGTAGCATCGATAGCATAATCGGGTTCTTCTTCCATCAATCTACCGATGTCGTTGATATTAGCATCGATGTCCAGTATGTAGCTGCAACCTTCTTTTCCATACCTATGGAATCAGTAGCAGGATTTAAGTTCTGCTCCGAATCTTAAAAGACAAAAAGGCGAAAAGATCCGTACTGGTTTCGCCTCTTGTTTGCTTCTTGCTGATCAAGAACCTCCCCAATGTATTCACAAACAAATGTGCCACGCAGTATATGTTCACAAGCTCGCAATCCCCATCCCTGTGGATCAATCAGTTGGATATTGGAGCTGAAGCAAGACAAATGGGTAAAAGACCATGACTGAAAAAGGACCACACCTTGCTTTCAGTTCTAAAAACTTCTAGTTTCACGCGAATTCCATTCTGCAAAACCCGATTCTGACATGTTCTAGAGCATCCACAGAACTTATTGCATTCATAAACAGGATAACCCTCCTGTTTCATTTTCAGAATCGACGACAACAATCACGGTTAACCAGAAAATGAGGATCCACAAATATGTTGTCAAGTAGTAACAAGATCTAAAATTACCACAAAATCACTTCAACAGAGAAGTATAACTAAAATTTACCTCCAAGATGATCCGTTGTTTGCCATCATATGGGAATCTAAACCTCATGGATTTTCCATATATGTCTCTAGCGTCCTCAAAATCGTTACCGAAAAGGTATACGTGATCACAAGTTACAGGCGAGCACACTGAACTGCGACAGCCACATCTGAGTTGCAGATTCTGCATCATTAAAAGCGGACAAAAAAACAAGGTTACAACATGGAGTCACAACTCTGTTTCAAGGGTACGACAAGCTAGAACAAGTTTAATACCTCCTTTACAAGTTCCATTGACGGATGAAGTATGGAGTTTGTAACATAAGTAAAGCTTTCCCAAGGCCTCTCATACGGCTTTCCAGAATTCAAAAGATCATCATCGACGACACAAATTGGAACTGATTCCTTACCAAAGCTTATGTCCTTGCACAAAACCGCGGTGTTTCCAAACGGTCTCTTACTAAAATGATGAGCCTCCATGATACAATGGCACTCATCAACTTCCAACTCGATATTAGAATGTTGTACAGGGTCCATAGATATCCCGAATCGATCATTCTCTTGTCGCGGGATCAAGGGACGTAGAAGATTTGGGTCTTTAACAGGCTTACATCCGTTAGAGCATATGTATCCTTCCTGATGCCATTGCACTTGTACACCTTGCTCACCACAAAGTTTTGCTGCCTTGAGATATATCCGGTCAGGCAAATCCCCGAATTTAGCCTCCAAAGAGGTCTCAAGGCTCACCCTACAGCAAGCCGATCGAGCAGCAGACAGGATATCAAAGTTATTAGGGCGATGCTTCGCTTTCTGAACCTTTGACAACAATATATTCGAAACCACAGAGCAATGAGCATCTGTACCATCAAAGTTTCTACTATCACCCGGAGGCGGCGGCGATACTCCAGTGTTTCCTTCCGTGCTGAGCGGTTTAGAACCTTGCATCCTCCTCTTCATATTTACACCAGCCCGGTTTCTAATCCTATATGAGACTGCTCCAAGACTTTTCTTGAATTTATTCGGACGACTAAGCCTACCAGATTTCATCCTGTATGTATTAAACCTTATTCCTTTCTTCGGACCACGAGAGCCAACTAGACTCGGTCCCATGTGTTCAGCTTGATGGTGACGGCCTAGGTCAGGTAATAAATTGAATTTCAGCCCACAGAACTTGCAAACAAATTTATGTACGCCGCTTGTATTCTCGTTGTTTTGGCTCACAACAATTTGTGAACTGCCTGCATCAGGTTTCTGAGAAGACTCACCATTAGTCAAATTGCACTCAGGAGCAACCGTTATCGATTTGCACTCAGAAGGATGCACAGCTTGCACATGTAACAGCAACTGTTCTTTATCTCCAAAATGACTGCCACAAGGAATACACTGAAGAAGCATACACTTTTCCGCAAACTGCACGTGATGTCTCTCCTCCACATGAATTTCCAAAAGCTTTCTCTTCACAAAAGAATCTAAGCAAATAGCACAAGCAAATCCACTAAAAGACCATTTCTCTTTGTCTTTGGTTTCTTCTCCTTTCTCATCATTCGCCCAGGCATTGGTGATGGCAAGCAGTCGATTAGGATATTCTGATAATGATACATCTTCTTCATCAGCACCAGTAGCGAAACCCCATATCCTAGTTAATCTCTCCCTTTCATTGGATACCAACTTCATCAAGAATTCCCCAACTCCAACGTCCGCGTTTCTTGAAGCTTCTGCTTTCGCCCAATCAATCTGTACCTCCATTGGGACAGAGTTTCTTAAAGATAAGACACTTTTGAAGAGCTTGTAGAAAATATCACAAGCTTGATGTAGAGCTAATTTTTCCTCACGCGATAAACAACCCCTCAAGAGATCTACAAAGACTTCCTTTGATATTATTCGACTCTTACCATTCCTCGCACGCTTAAGCCAGTTAGGAAGGTGCTGTTCACAGTATAACGAGTGCTTTGTCGAGAACTCACTGCAAGGAATATAGCTGTTTTCTGAGCAAGAACCTATACACAAGTTATCCTCTTGGCTACAATGTTCAAACATCTCAGTGAAGCTCGTGGCTCCATGGGGCTCCTGTTTCTCAAAAGATAGACCTTCTGGTTCTCCAAACGGCACCAAATCTTGACATTGATTTGTTTCTAAGGTCGACATAATTTCCGCTACCTTTCTCTTCACCAGAAGAGATGAAGAATCATCAGGTTTCTCCATCTCTGTATGAGGGCGGTGTTTCTTGCAGTACAAAAACCCGGGTAGAGATCGGTGCTTGCATTTGGTACCAAGAACAGTAACTCCTCCGCACATTGGTGCTTCAACTGCAGGAGAGCCCTCGTTCTTTGCAGATTTGGTGGTGAAACGAGAAGCTAAATGCACACAACAATAAACATCACCTTCATTCGCCCACCTCACACATTGCCTTCCTTTCGATTCAATGAAAGCTATGCATTGCTGACTCTTATTTCCCGAACCAAATGGTTTCTTCAAAACTGATTCGTTAATGTGTGGGTGAGACAATCCGTTAGTTTCTTTTGTTTTCATGATCTGTGAACCACCTGCTTCAACAACAATGCCATCCCATAGATCCAAACCATTCTCCGGTGTATTCATTATCGGGTTTTCATCTTTCAACGCCTCAGGAGTATTAGTGTTGCCTCGAGAACTAAAGAATTCCGAGTCAATTGCAGTCAATCCTTGTGGTGACGTATCAGACTCCATCTGTGATGCATTTGTCGTCTCTGCTCGTCGAATCTCAAGTTTTGGTCTTTTACGGCTAGCCTGGACATCTGAGTTAAACACACTTTTACTATTCGGCTGTGCTATTTCGCCAACACCACGGCGAGATATCGAGAACCATTTCGCAATGTCATGCTTCCACGTTTTCCATTCTGAAAACAACATTGGTTGCATTGGAGACTCAGAAAGTGATTTGACTTCACTCCACTTGATACAATTGTCAAATTCCTAAACACAACCAGATAAAGTGGCTTTAGTTAAGGAAACAATACGCATCAATGACACTTATCAGCCTCTGGTGAAGTCATTACCTCATTCAGTAATTCAATACTCTCGGCATTCACTGCATTGTTACATTTTTGTACCCACAAAGGAAACGAGTTCTCAAGCCAGATCGGATCCATGTATCGTTGCAAAATCATCTGAACAACATGAACACAAAGCTGATATATGATTACAGAAGAATCAAACTACACATACTCTAAACTTAATCGCAACGAGAGCAGCTTACACTGTGAAGCTTCACAAGCATTATCCCAAGATCATGATAACTTGTGCTTCTAGTAGCCTCCATTGCAAATTCTCTCCAGATTATAATATCCCTAGCTGCTTCAGAAACAACCTGCAACATCAAAAGCGTTAAACCAAATGCAATCCAAATTCTTCGGTATGTCGAATACTTAGTTCCAGCTTATACCTCTGAGGGGAATTGGTCAACTATATTGAAAATCCCAACAGTAAGCTTCCTCATAATGTAACGTCGAGCAGCAGTTAAATCTTTAACCAATTTAATTCCAATTTTATGTGACTTATATGCAATAGGATCAGGGAACTCATTGATGGATCGAACAAGCTGCATATCCGCCCACGAGTAGTTTTTCGTATGCGGGAAAAAAATCACACAATACTTTTTCCTATCATGAGTAGGTTTGCCTCTCAAAGTTGTCAATGGCCAGTCCGCTTTCGCACATCTGATTCCAGCCTGCCATTTACCTCTCCACTATAACACCACAAGAAGACACAAAACATTAACCATACATAAATATCATCTAATCGAATTTAAGATTCCGTATTCGTATAGCGATAACTCGTATTATTACCTTCACCCACAAAGCTATAGGTTCATCTTGTTGCAGCCATTTGGGCTCAGAAGGAGACGACTCGCCTTTGCCATTATTACCAATAGGTCCGGTAATTACCGTAACTAAATCGGTACTACGGTTCACCTCATTTAAATCATCCCCAGGCTCAGGTTTCACCAACAATTCACTACCAGTTGCCTCCTCAACATCCACGTCAAGAACCAATTCATCCATTTCAACTTCCATAAATCACCACTTAGAAGATACTTCACTTCTTTAAACCCAGGATTTGATAAAATCACACAATTCTACAATAAGAACAGGTGAATTAAAAAAAAAAAAAAAACAATAGTCAATAGTAGAGATATAAAAATCAACACATAAGAAATTGCTTTCCTAATCAAATTTTCAACATTCACCATAAGAAATTTCTAATAAGGCAAGAAATTTTCAGACAAACGAAGTCAAGTATTACATAACCATTGTTGGTAGTACTAATCAGAACTGTTAGATCTTATGAAGTAAAAATCCTAATTGGGGAAGAACAATTAGCTAAAACCACACAAAGAAATCAAGAATTGATCTAAACCCTATCATTAGAAAGAACCCAAAAGTGTTATATAATAATAAAAAAAGGTTGGTCCATA